ATATATATATATATATATATATTAGGTGTGCGATTTTATATATATATATATTTTAAAAATATTGTGTATTTACAAAGCCTAAAAACACACACATGTAAAAAACTACAAATTTTACTTAAGACATCTTTTCATCAACAATTACTTTCGCATATGAGCATGGATAGCGTACATACCGAAGCGTTAATAATTAATTCTCGAAAATGATATGTCGTATTGTAACTTTATTACACATGGTTAAATTTGTGAAAAACTAATCTTTAATTTGTTAAAAAAAAAATCTAAAAATTTAGGAAAATTACAGGGGTATTTTGTTAAACAAAAAAAATTTTTTTTCTTTATAACTTTAAAGTTCTCTTGAAATCGTAAAACTTTTATTTAAAAAATTTTTTTCTATTTTTTATATTCCCGACGATATTCGGCTCGAAAGAAAAATACCGTTTTTTTTCAATGGGTTGTTTCACCCCTTAAATATGAGTTAGCGCACCTATAAAAAAATACGTGTCTCTTAGATTTTCGTGTTTTACAATATATTTCATAGAGAATCAAATCGATTCCGGACAGTTGTAAAACTTCCCTTGTGAGTGAACTATAGAATTTCTAATTACGCGCGTAGCTAATTGATTTAAACTTCTACCCATAGTTTACAAATAAATCTTGTCTTTTCAGTACATTTTATTGATGTCGGAGGCAACTCTTGTCCTCGCCAGTGACAACATGCTGACCGCTTCTTTGTCGCGTCCTGTCAACAAACACCTTCATTGGATTCTTCAAACCGTTGGACTAATTCTGACTTTGGTCGGCGTAGGCGTGATGTATAACGCCAAATCAGTACACTTCCTTTCAATCCATAGTATTACAGGTATATCTTCATTGGTTATCATCTGCATAGTGACTCTTCTCGGATATCCGGTATGGATCGCATGGAAACTTCGCAAGTTCGTACGACCAACGATTATCAAATTTCTTCATAATTTTCTTGCCATCATCGGTTTTATCATCGGTATGGTCTCACAATGTTACGGTTACAAAAAAACTTGGATATGTCATGAAATGGAAATAAAGCACGCCGACGATATGCTACTTATACTCACAATATTGATTACAATATTATCCTTAAGGGGTGCGCTCAACTCTCTTTATAGACAAGCCACCAATTATCTAAAATTAATTTGCCCCTTCGCCTGATATATGAGTTGGCATGCAAAATTCTTGATCTAATTATAGGAAATTATCACGCTTTATTAATGTTTTGTTATTAACATTTAGTTAAAATAATGTAAATAATTACTAATAGATTTAACATCATATTTGAAATTAACATTTTCTTAAGCGAATTTTTAAAAATACTTATACAATCTATCAGTACTAATTATATAAGGAATTAAGCAGGATTAGGTGGTAACTAGTTAATAAGCTAAATTATAAATAAAAAGTTAGAGTTAATAACTTTTCACATAAGTATTTAATTTTAAACATTAATTTATCCTTATTTTTAGATTAAAGCACATTTATCTTTCTAACTACAATTATCATTTTCCATAAAATCTTAAATTAGAGAATTAGTTTAAAAGCTCTATCAATGTGTCAATGGCGAGACGTATATAATGCCCGGAGATTAGATTGAGTCAGCATTCAGGGAACGCTATTAGTGTCATGCTGCCCTTGTTTTAAACCTGGGATAAAGAAAGAAAAATTATTGATTTATAACGACGCTAAGGATTTGTTGATTATCACCATGTCGTTATTCATTGCCATTGCCAACCATTCGTGAATCTTGCCGTTTACTTTTTCAGGACGAGAAGCACACTGATACCCCTCTACTCCTTCGAAAGACTCCTGTTATACTCCTCGTAGGGATAATAACGAGGATTCAGGTCGAAGGGTTGGAAATTCACAGAACCAATGTTTGTTAAAAAAGTTTTAATTACACTTACAAATATTTTACAAAATGTCTTGTCAGTGATTCGCCTTACGGACAATAACTTTGCATGGCTCGGGTATCGCGTTACCGAGAAATAATGTTGTACTGTTTTGTTTACTATATATATAGAGTGACACTTTTAGATTATGACTTAACGTATTCGACGTAACGCTTACTCGACTTTCGGATTCTCAGTCTACGACGTAGGTATAGTCGTATATCCGAATCTAAAATGCTGGATTGCCCTTATAAAAA